ATCATCGATAGATCACGTGATATTAATAGTTTTCGATTTTTATTCCAGTGATGCGTTATTTTTGATCGCCACTGTAATTATATTCGGTCTGATCTTCTTTGAGGCGATTCCTGCCATTTGGAAACTGGTCCCGACTATAATAATGCAAAAGTTGCAGGTTAGCATAAAATCTGATTGAAAAAAAGACTCGACACAGATACTTACAAGATCTTCATCAACTCTAATGCCCGCCTTTTCCATTTAACATTATCATTTGTTCGCAACTTTGCACGCTCTCTCTTGACAACTTCACGCAATTTCTTTGCATTATTCTAATGAAATATACTATCTGGATCAATACTACTAAAGATTTGACAAAAATCAGGTCTATTCTTTAAAGATAATGCTACTCACCACATTTTTTGAAATTTTTGTTAAATACTGCTCTACTTCTTTTGCCTTCCCGTCATGTTCCGTACTTTGATAAGTGTCTTGTTCCGTATCTTGATCAGATGATGCTGAAACGGAGGTAGAAGCTGAAGCTAATTGTGTTGCATCAGGACTTGACGTCAAAAATCTTTCTATAGTGCTGATGACATTGTCACAGTGCTCCTTGAAGAGCTTTCGTGCTTCCGTTGCAGATGAGCTGGTCGTATCTATAATATTGTAGCGCATTAAGCTATAAAATAAATTTATCAGTAAAGAAATAGTGTCTAAGGCTATAACTATATAACGGGACAACAAAAACAATTATACATACTCCTGCTTATGTATTTCTTCGACATATTTTGACGATTCGCGCCATTTCTCAATTGACGACCGGATGCATATATTGTTAATAATTAATTTACGATCAAAAACAGCTTCAAGGTTTTCTTGTAAAAGATTCTCTTCTAAATCTTCTTCGGTACAATCATTCTTATGACCCTGAGGCTCTAAAGTAACGTTAGGTGAGGAATGAATCACTGGAAAAAAAAATTCGTCTATCTTCGTCCTTTTAGTTTTATCATTACGCTCATCCTAAAAGATTTAAATACAATATGGTTAGCACCGCTGATTCTCACTTCTAGCCAAAAAAAAATGCTCACCTGTACCCCTTCCTGCTCTCTTTTTGATCCGGCAACGAACGTTCCACCGGTTATAGTCCCGTTTACAGTCCCATGTATAGACCCATGTATAGAAGACCCATGTATAGATCCATGTCCAAGAAATGTCTGCTGATGGAAATGAATTTGCCTCGCTTGCTCATTCTCCCAATTCCTTGCTAGTACGCGATCGGATTGAGGTTCCTAGAAATAGAAAATTCGAATATTTAGCAATATTCCTGACTAACACGTCTTAATTTACATCCGATTTCCGATCCCATCCGAACGTCAGGCAAGCTAATTGGTTTCCTGCGCCCAATGAGTCCAATGCTGGAAAGGCTAATTGACTTGAAGCATCAGGCAAGCTAATTGGTTTCCTGTGCCCCAACATTGGTTTGTGGCTCGGCTAATTGACTCGAATGGCAAAGAAGCTAGTTGATTCCTTGCCACGCCACTTACTCAACTATACTTCTAACAAAAAAATATATTTACTTTCCTTGCTATAATACTTGTTAAAGAGAAACTGAGCTTTTTCTTTTCTATTTCCTTCCTCATGGTTAATAATATTCTTAAGGCCTCTTAAGTATAAGTCTATTTTTAGCCGGAATGATTCTTCTTCGCTTTCGGTTAAAAATCCTATAAGGCTCCATTCCTCGGACTTTCGTTTGAAATAATCGTGTACTTTGTTACTTGACATTTGTATTATACTGTAAGAGTGTAAGGTTATTGAAGTTTCGAAGTAAAGAATAAAAAATTTTTTTGACTTTGTCATATCATTGCTCCAAACCACAAAAATTAATTAATCATCCGTGTCTAATTTCCGTAAAAGAATATGCCACAACAGTTTTGTAAATGAATGATCACATGATACTTATAAATTGCATTAATAATTTTTTCCAGCACCCCGAAATATTTTTTCGATGATACATGTTATAAACCCGATATTTATTAGTTTTTCAGTAAAATAGCGAATGAAATGTATGATGCTATCAAAGAGGGGGGGGGGGGGGGGGGGGGGGGGGGGGCGGGTGGGGGGGGGGTGGTGGCGGGCCCACCGATGCTTTTTTTCTGTTTAAAAAAAAAAATGTTTATCTTATTTTCCTCACAACACACCCAGTTCCCC